CTCAATATGCCAGCCTCAAAACCAAAGATCACACAAGAAAATTCATTACAAACCATGATGAATAAGAAAAATGAGAAAAAAGCCGAAGAAATGCAAGAATCCATAATGATATTGGGCTTGATTTAGTCTCAAGGAAACCGGCTGTTCCCGGATTCATCCAACCCTAAAGCTGACTGCCTGTAGACTTCTGACTAAATTAACCTGAAATTCGCAGTGAAACTCAGTTTGGAGGCAATATATAACTGTCACCTCAGCCAAAGTGTTCCATTTTATTTTCCAAAACACAAAAACTCACCTTGTTCGTGTTATCTGTAGATTTATAAGCTTCAAATGCCTATGTGTTGTGTTTTTTATTTCATAATGGCTACTCTGTCCAAACTCTTGTTTGTATTGCGTCAGAATACAAAATTTGGGGAGGAAGAAGGCAAAACCAACTCAGACCCAGAAAACATTTAGGAAATTGCTGCTCAAGAAACCTCAAATCGGCTGGGGCACCTAAACCAATGACAGCAAGCCAGAATTGGAGCAAGCCAACAGCTGTGCCCTGATTGAAAAAGAACCATTCTCTTGTGCACTGAACTCCATATTGCAGCCTCAAAACCAAAGCTCACATCAGAAAATTCATTATTCTGTCCAAACTCTTGTTTGTATTGCGTCAGAATACAAAATTTGGGAAGGAAGAAGGCAAAACCAACTCAGACCCAGAAAACATTTAGAAAATTGCCTCTCAAGAAACCAAACACCGCTGAGGCACCCAAAAACTTAAAACAAGACAGAATTGGAGCAAGCCAACAGCTGTGCCCTGATTGAAAAAGAACCTTCCTCTTGTGCCCTGAACTCAATATGCCAGACTCAAAACCAAAGCTCACATCAGAAAATTCATTACAAACCATGATAAATAAGAAAAAAGAGAAAAAAGGCAAAGAAATGCAGGAGTTCTTAGTAATATTGGGCTTGATTTATTGCCATGTAAACGGCTGTTTCCAGATTCATCCACACCTCCCAGCTGAGTATCTGTGGTTTCTGACTGAATTAACCTGAAAATCGCAGTGAAACTCGGTTTGGAGGCAATTAATATCTGTCACCTCAGCCAAAGTGTTCCATCTTATCTTCCAAAACTCAAAAACTCACCTTAGTCTTCTTACCTGTAGATTTCAAAACTTCAAATGCCTATTTGTTTTGTTTTTTATTTCATCATTGCTAGTCTGCCCAAGCTCTTGTTTGTATTGCGTCAGAATACAAAATTTGGCAAGGAAGAAGGCAAAACCGACTCAGACCCAGAAAACATTTAGGAAATTGCCACTCAAGAATCCAAAAGTCAGCGGAGGAACCTACAACAATGACAGCAAGCCAGAATTGGAGCAAGCCAACAGCTGTGCCCTGATTGAAAAAGAACCTTCCTCTTGTGCCCTGAGCTCAATATAGCAGATTCAAAACCAAAGCTCACATCAGAAAATTCATTACAAACCATGATAAATCAGAAAAATGAGAAAAAAGCCAAAGAAATGCAGGAGTTCTTAGTAATATTGGGCTTGATTTATTGCCATGTAAACGGCTGTTTCCAGATTCATCCACACCTCCCAGCTGAGTGTCTGTGGTTTCTGACTGAATTAACCTGAAAATCGCAGTGAAACTCGGTTTGGAGGCAATTAATATCTGTCACCTCAGCCAAAGTGTTCCATTTTATTTTCCAAAACTCAAAAACTCACCTTAGTCTTCTTACCTGTAGATTTCTAAGCTTCAAATGCCTATTTGTTGTGTTTTTTATTTCATCATTGCTACTCTGTCCAAACTCTTGTTTGTATTGCGTCAGAATACAAAATTTGGGATTAAGAAGGAAAAACCGTGTCAGACCCAGAAAACATTTAGGAAATTGCCACTCAAGAAACCAAAAGTCAGCTGAGGAACCCACAACAATGACAGCAAGCCAGAATTGGAGAAAGCCAACAGCTGTGCCCTGATTGAAAGAGAACCTTCCTCTTGTGCCCTGAACTCAATATGCCAGCCTCAAAAGCAAAGCTCACATCAGAAAATTCATTACAAACCATGATAAATAAGAAAAATGAGAAAAAAGCCAAAGAAATGCAGGAGTTCTTAGGGATATTGGGCTTGAATTATGGCCATGTAAACGGCTGTTTCCAGATACATCCACACCTCCCAACTGAGTGTCTTTGGTTTCTGAATGAATTAACAAAAAAATCGCAGTGAAACTCGGTTTTGGAGGCAATTAATATCTGTCACCTCAGCCAGAGGGTTCAATTTTATTTTCATAAACACAAAAACTTACCTTGCTCGTGTTACCTGTACATATACAAGCTTCAAACGCATATTTGTTGTGTTTTTTATTTCATAATGGCTACTCTGTCCAAACTCTTGTTTGTATTACGTCAGAATAGAAAATTTGGAAAGGAAGAAGGCAAAACCAACTCAGACCCAGAAAACATGTAGGAAATTGCCGCTAAAGAAACCAAAAACAGCTCAGGCACGCAAAACAATGACAGCAAGCCAGAATTGCAACAAGCCAACAGCTGTGTCCTGTTTGAAAAAGACCATTGATCCGGTGCCCTGAACTCAATATGCCAGCCTCAAAACCAAAGCTCACATCAGAAAATTCATTACAAACCATGATAAATCAGAAAAATGAGACAAAAGCCAAAGAAATGCACGAGTTCTTAGTGATATTTGGCTGGATTTAGACACAAGGAAACTGGCTGTTTAAAGATTCATCCCCCCCTTCCACTGACTGACTTTGGAATTCTGATTGATTTCACCTCAAAATTGCACTCACACTCAATTTGGAGGGAATTAGAATCTGTCCCCTCAGCAGAAGGGTTCCATGTCATTTTCCAAAACACAGAAACTAATCTTGATCACGTTGCCAGTAGATTTCTAATCCTGAAAGGGCAATTTCTGTGTTTTTTTTTTTTCTTTCATTATGGCTACTCTGTCCAAATCTTGCTTGTATTGCATCAGAATACAAAATATGGGAATAAGAAGGCAAAACCGACTCAGACCCAGAAAACATTAAGGAAATTGCCGCTCAAGAAACCACAAATCGGCTGAGGCACTCAAAACAATGACAGCAAGCCAGAATTGGAGCAAGCCAACAGCTGTGCCCTGATTGAAAAAGAACCTTCCTCTTGTGCCCTGAACTCAATATGCCAGCCTCAAAACCAAAGCTCACATCAGAAAATTCATTACAAATCATCATAAATAAGAAAAAAGAGAAAAAAGCCAAAGAAATGCAAGAATCCATAATCATAGTGGCTTGAATTAGTTGCAAGGAAACCGGCTGTTCCCGGATTCATCCACCCCTCCAGCTGACTGCCTGTGGAATTCTGACTGAATTAACCTGAAAATCGCAGTAAGACTCAGTTTGGAGGCAATAATATCAGTCACCTCAGCCAAAGTGTTCCATTTGATTTTCCAAATCACAAAAACTCACCTTGGTCGTGTTACCCTTAGATTCATAAGCTTCAAACGCTAATTTGTTGTTTTTTTTTTTTTATTTCATGATGGCTACTCTGTCCAAACTCTTGTTTGTATTGCGTCAGAATACAAAATGTGGGAAGGAAGAAGGGAAAACCAACTCAGACCCAGAAAACATTTAGGAAATTGCCGCTCAAGAAACCACAAATCGGCTGAGGCACCCAAAACCTTGAAAGCAAGACAGAATTGGAGCAAGCCAACAGCTGTGCCCTGATTGAACAAGACCATTAATCCAGTGCCCTGAACTCCATATTCCATCCTCAAAACCAAAGCTCACATCAGAAAATTCATTAGAAACCATGATAAATAAGGGAAATCTGAGAAAGCCAAAGAAATTCAAGAGTCCTTTTTGGTATTTGTCTGGATTTAGACAGAAGGAAACTGGCTGTTTCCGGATTCATCCCCCCCTTCCACAGACAGACCTTGGAATTCTGATTGAATTCACCTCAAAATCACACTCACATTCAATTTGGAGGGAATTAGAATCTGTCCGCTCAGCAGAAGCCTTCCATGTCATTTTCCAAAACACAGAAACTCATCTTGGTCGTGTTGCCTATAGATTTCTAATCCTGAAAGGGCAATTTGCTGTGTTTTTTTTTTTCTTTCATAATGGCTACTCTGTCCAAATCTTGCTTATGTTGCATCAGAATACAAAATTTGGGAAGGAAGAAGGCAAATCCGACTCAGACCTAGAAAACATTTAGGAAACTGCAACACAAGCATCCACAAATCAGCTGAGGCACCCAAAACAATGACAGCAAGCAGAATTGCAGCAAGACAACAGCTGTGCCCTGATTGAAAAAGAACCTTCCTCTTGTGCCCTGAACTCAATATGCCAGCCTCAAAACCAAAGCTCACATAAGAAAATTCATTACAAACCATGATAAATAAGGGAAATCTGAGAAAGCCAAAGAAATTCAAGAGTCCTTTGTGGTATTTGGCTGGATTTAGACACAAAGAAACTGGTTGTTTAAAGATTCATCCCCCCCTTCCACAGACAGACTTTGGAATTCTGATTGAATTCACCTCAAAATCGCACTCACACTCAATTTGGAGGGAATTAGAATCTGTCCCCTCAGCAGAAGTGTTCCATGTCATTTTCCAAAACACAGAAACTCATCTTGGTCGAGTTGCCTGTAGATTTCTAATCCTGAAAGGGCAATTTGCTGTGTTTTTTTTTTTTTCTTTCATAATGGCTACTCTGTCCAAAATCTTGCTTGTATTGCATCAGAATACAAAATTTGGGAAGGAAGAAGGCAAAACCGACTCAGACCCAGAAAACATTTAGGAAATTGCCACTCAAGAAACCACAAATCGGCTGAGGCACCCAAAACAATGACAGCAACCCAGAATTGCAGCAAGCCAACATCTGTGCCCTGATTGAAAAAGAACCTTCCTCTTGTGCCCTGAGCTCAATATACCAGCCTCAAAACCAAAGCTCACATCAGAAAATTCATTACAAACCATGATATATAAGAAAAATGAGAAAAAAGCCAAAGAAATGCAGGAGTTCTTAGTAATATTGGGCTTGATTTATTGCCATGTAAACGGCTGTTTCCAGATTCATCCACACCTCCCAGCTGAGTATCTGTGGTTTCTGACTGAATTAACCTGAAAATCGCAGTGAAACTCGGTTTGGAGGCAATTAATATCTGTCACCTCAGCCAAAGTGTTCCATTTTATCTTCCAAAACTCAAAAACTCACCTTAGTCTTCTTACCTGTAGATTTCAAAACTTCAAATGCCTATTTGTTTTGTTTTTTATTTCATAATGGCTACTCTGCCCAAGCTCTTGTTTGTATTGCGTCAGAATACAAAATTTGGCAAGGAAGAAGGCAAAACCAACTCAGACCCAGAAAACATTTAGGAAATTGCCACTCAAGAATCCAAAAGTCAGCTGAGGAACCTACAACAATGGCAGCAAGCCAGAATTGGAGCAAGCCAACAGCTGTGCCCTGATTGAAAAAGAACCTTCCTCTTGTGCCCTGAGCTCAATATACCAGCCTCAAAACCAAAGCTCACATCAGAAAATTCATTACAAACCATGATAAATAAGAAAAATGAGAAAAAAGCCAAAGAAATGCAGGAGTTCTTAGTAATATTGGGCTTGATTTATTGCCATGTAAACGGCTGTTTCCAGATTCATCCACACCTCCCAGCTGAGTGTCTGTGGTTTCTGACTGAATTAACCTGAAAATCGCAGTGAAACTCGGTTTGGAGGCAATTAATATCTGTCACCTCAGCCAAAGTGTTCCATCTTATCTTCCAAAACTCAAAAACTCACCTTAGTCTTCTTACCTGTAGATTTCTAAGCTTCAAATGCCTATTTGTTGTGTTTTTTATTTCATCATTGCTACTCTGTCCACACTCTTGTTTGTATTGCGTCAGAATACAAAATTTGGGATTAAGAAGGAAAAACCGTGTCAGACCCAGAAAACATTTAGGAAATTGCCACTCAAGAAACCAAAAGTCAGCTGAGGAACCCACAACAATGACAGCAAGCCAGAATTGGAGAAAGCCAACAGCTGTGCCCTGATTGAAAAAGAACCTTCCTCTTGTGCCCTGAACTCAATATGCCAGCCTCAAAAGCAAAGCTCACATCGGAAAATTCATTACAAACCATGATAAATAAGAAAAATGAAAAAAAAAGCCAAAGAAATGCAGGAGTTCTTAGGGATATTGGGCTTGAATTATGGCCATGTAAACGGCTGTTTCCAGATTCATCCACACCTCCCAACTGAGTGTCTTTGGTTTCTGAATGAATTAACAAAAAAATCGCAGTGAAACTCGGTTTTGGAGGCAATTAATATCTGTCACCTCAGCCAGAGTGTTCAATTTTATTTTCATAAACACAAAAACTTACCTTGCTCGTGTTACCTGTACATATATAAGCTTCAAACGCATATTTGTTGTGTTTTTTATTTCATAATGGCTACTCTGTCCAAACTCTTGTTTGTATTACGTCAGAATACAAAATTTGGAAAGGAAGAAGGCAAAACCAACTCAGACCCAGAAAACATGTAGGAAATTGCCACTAAAGAAACCAAAAACAGCTGAGGCACGCAAAACAATGACAGCAAGCCAGAATTGCAACAAGCCAACAGCTGTGTCCTGTTTGAAAAAGACCATTGATCCAGTGCCCTGAACTCAATATGCCAGCCTCAAAACCAAAGCTCACATCAGAAAATTCATTACAAACCATGATAAATCAGAAAAATGAGACAAAAGCCAAAGAAATGCACGAGTTCTTAGTGATATTTGGCTGGATTTAGACACAAGGAAACTGGCTGTTTAAAGATTCATCCCCCCCTTCCACTGACTGACTTTGGAATTCTGATTGACTTCACCTCAAAATTGCACTCACACTCAATTTGGAGGGAATTAGAATCTGTCCCCTCAGCAGAAGGGTTCCATGTCATTTTCCAAAACACAGAAACTAATCTTGATCATGTTGCCAGCAGATTTCTAATCCTGAAAGGGCAATTTCTGTGTTTTTTTTTTCTTTCCTAATGGCTACTCTGTCCAAATCTTGCTTGTATTGCATCAGAATACAAAATATGGGAATAAGAAGGCAAAACCGACTCAGACCCAGAAAACATTAAGGAAATTGCCGCTCAAGAAACCACAAATCGGCTGAGGCACCCAAAACAATGACAGCAAGCCAGAATTGCAGCAAGCCAACATCTGTGCCCTGATTGAAAAAGAACCTTCCTCTTGTGCCCTGAGCTCAATATACCAGCCTCAAAACCAAAGCTCACATCAGAAAATTCATTACAAACCATGATAAATAAGAAAAATGAGAAAAAAGCCAAAGAAATGCAGGAGTTCTTAGTAATATTGGGCTTGATTTTTTGCCATGTAAACGGCTGTTTCCAGATTCATCCACACCCCCCAGCTGAGTGTCTGTGGTTTCTGACTGAATTAACCTGAATATCGCAGTGAAACTCGGTTTGGAGGCAATTAATATCTGTCACCTCAGCCAAAGTGTTCCATTTTATCTTCCAAAACTCAAAAACTCACCTTAGTCTTCTTACCTGTAGATTTCAAAACTTCAAATGCCTATTTGTTTTGTTTTTTATTTCATAATGGCTACTCTGCCCAAGCTCTTGTTTGTATTGCGTCAGAATACAAAATTTGGCAAGGAAGAAGGCAAAACCAACTCAGACCCAGAAAACATTTAGGAAATTGCCACTCAAGAATCCAAAAGTCAGCTGAGGAACCTACAACAATGACAGCAAGCCAGAATTGGAGCAAGCCAACAGCTGTGCCCTGATTGAAAAAGAACCTTCCTCTTGTGCCCTGAGCTCAATATACCAGTCTCAAAACCAAAGCTCACATCAGAAAATTCATTACAAACCATGATAAATAAGAAAAATGAGAAAAAAGCCAAAGAAATGCAGGAGTTCTTAGTAATATTGGGCTTGATTTATTGCCATGTAAACGGCTGTTTCCAGATTCATCCACACCTCCCAGCTGAGTATCTGTGGTTTCTGACTGAATTAACCTGAAAATCGCAGTGAAACTCGGTTTGGAGGCAATTAATATCTGTCACCTCAGCCAAAGTGTTCCATTTTATTTTCCAAAACTCAAAAACTCACCTTAGTCATCTTACCTGTAGATTTCTAAGCTTCAAATGCCTATTTGTTTTGTTTTTTATTTCATCATTGCTAGTCTGTCCAAACTCTTGTTTGTATTGCGTCAGAATACAAAATTTGGGATTAAGAAGGAAAAACCGTGTCAGACCCAGAAAACATTTAGGAAATTGCCACTCAAGAAACCAAAAGTCAGCTGAGGAACCCACAACAATGACAGCAAGCCAGAATTGGAGAAAGCCAACAGCTGTGCCCTGATTGAAAAAGAACCTTCCTCTTGTGCCCTGAACTCAATATACCAGCCTCAAAAGCAAAGCTCACATCGGAAAATTCATTACAAACCATGATAAATAAGAAAAATGAGAAAAAAGCCAAAGAAATGCAGGAGTTCTTAGGGATATTGGGCTTGAATTATGGCCATGTAAACGGCTGTTTCCAGATACATCCACACCTCCCAACTGAGTGTCTTTGGTTTCTGAATGAATTAACAAAAAAATCGCAGTGAAACTCGGTTTTGGAGGCAATTAATATCTGTCACCTCAGCCAGAGTGTTCAATTTTACTTTCGAAAACACAAAAACTTACCTTGCTCGTGTTACCTGTACATATATAAGCTTCAAACGCATATTTGTTGTGTTTTTTATTTCATAATGGCTACTCTGTCCAAACTCTTGTTTGTATTACGTCAGAATACAAAATTTGGGAAGGAAGAAGGCAAAACCAACTCAGACCCAGAAAACATGTAGGAAATTGCCACTAAAGAAACCAAAAACAGCTGAGGCACGCAAAACAATGACAGCAAGCCAGAATTGCAACAAGCCAACAGCTGTGTCCTGTTTGAAAAAGACCATTGATCCGGTGCCCTGAACTCAATATGCCAGCCTCAAAACCAAAGCTCACATCAGAAAATTCATTACAAACCATGATAAATCAGAAAAATGAGACAAAAGCCAAAGAAATGCACGAGTTCTTAGTGATATTTGGCTGGATTTAGACACAAGGAAACTGGCTGTTTAAAGATTCCTCCCCCCCTTCCACTGACTGACTTTGGAATTCTGATTGATTTCACCTCAAAATTGCACTCACACTCAATTTGGAGGGAATTAGAATCTGTCCCCTCAGCAGAAGGGTTCCATGTCATTTTCCAAAACACAGAAACTAATCTTGATCATGTTGCCAGCAGATTTCTAATCCTGAAAGGGCAATTTCTGTGTTTTTTTTTTCTTTCATAATGGCTACTCTGCCAAAATCTTGCTTATATTGCATCAGAATACAAAATATGGGAATAAGAAGGCAAAACCGACTCAGACCCAGAAAACATTAAGGAAATTGCCGCTCAAGAAACCACAAATTGGCTGAGGCACCCAAAACAATGACAGCAAGCCAGAATTGGAGCAAGCCAATAGCTGTGCCCTGATTGAAAAAGAACCTCCCTCTTGTGCCCTGAACTCAATATTGCAGCCTCAAAACCAAAGCTCACATCAGAAAATTCATTACAAACCATGATAAATAAGAAAATGGAGAAAAAGCCAAAGAAATGCAAGAATCCATAATGATAGTGGGCTTGATTTAGTTGCAAGGAAACCGGCTGTTCCCAGATTCATCCACAGTTCCAGCTGACTGCCTGTGGAATTCCGACTGAATTAACCTGAAAATCGCAGTAAGACTCAGTTTGGAGGCAATAATATCAGTCACCTCAGCCAAAGTGTTCCATTTTATTTTCCAAATCACAAAAAATCACCTTGGTCATGTTACCCTTAGATTTATAAGCTTCAAACGCTAATTTGTTGTTTTTTTTTTTTTTATTTCATAATGGCTACTCTGTCAAAACTCTTGTTTGTATTGCGTCAGAATACAAAATGTGGGAAGGAAGAAGGGAAAACCAACTCAGACCCAGAAAACATTTAGGAAATTGCCGCTCAAGAAACCACAAATCGGCTGAGGCACCCAAAACCTTGAAAGCAAGACAGAATTGGAGCAAGCCAACAGCTGTGCCCTGATTGAACAAGACCATTAATCCAGTGCCCTGAACTCCATATTCCATCCTCAAAACCAAAGCTCACATCAGAAAATTCATTAGAAACCATGATAAATAAGGGAAATCTGAGAAAGCCAAAGAAATTCAAGAGTCCTTTTTGGTATTTGGCTGGATTTAGACAGAAGGAAACTGGCTGTTTCCGGATTCATCCCCCCCCTTCCACAGACAGACTTTGGAATTCTGATTGAATTCACCTCAAAATCGCACTCACACTCAATTTGGAGGGAATTAGAATCTGTCCCCTCAGAAGAAGGGTTCCATGTCATTTTCCAAAACACAGAAACTCATCTTGGTCGTGTTGCCTATAGATTTCTAATCCTGAAAGGGCAATTTGCTGTGTTTTTTTTTTCTTTCATAATGGCTACCCTGTCCAAAATCTTGCTTATGTTGCATCAGAATACAAAATTTGGGAAGGAAGAAGGCAAATCCGACTCAGACCCAGAAAACATTTAGGAAACTGCAACACAGGAATCCACAAATCAGCTGAGGCACCCAAAACAATGACAGCAAGCCAGAATTGGAGCAAGCCAACAGCTGTGCCCTGATTGAAAAAGAACCTTCCTCTTGTGCCCTGAACTCCATATTGCAGCCTCAAAACCAAAGCTCACATCAGAAAATTCATTACAAACAATGATAAATAAGAAAAATCAGAAAAAAAGCCAAAAAAATGCAAGAATCCATAATGTTATTGGGCTTGATTTAGTCGCAAGGAAGCCAGCAGTTCCCAGATTCATCCACGCCTAAAGCTGACTGCCTGTGGAATTCTCACAGAATGAACCCGAAAATCACAGTGAAACTCAGTTTGGAGGCAATTAATATCTGTCACCTCAGCCAAAGTTTTCCATTTTATTTTCCAAAACAAAAAAACTCACTTTGGTCGTGTTACCTGCAGATTTAAAATCTTGAAACGCCTATTTGTTGTGTTGTTTATTTCATAATGGCTACTCTGTACAAACTCTTCTTTGCATTCCATCAGAATACTAAATTTGGGAAGGAAGAAGGCAGAACCAACTCATACCCAGAAAACATTTAGGAAATTGCCGCTCAAGAAACCACAAATCAGCTGAGGCACCCAAAACCTTGAAAGCAAGACAGTATTGGAGCAAGCCAACAGCTGTGCCCTGATTGAACAAGACCATTAATCCAGTGCCCAGAACTCCATATTGCAGCCTCAAAACCAAAGCTCCCATCAGAAAATTCATTACAAACCATGATAAATAAGGGAAATCTGAGAAAGCCAAAGAAATTCAAGAGTCCTTTGTGGTATTTGGCTGGATTTAGACAGAAGGAAACTGGCTGTTTCCAGATTCATCCCCCCCTTCCACAGACAGACCTTGGAATTCTGATTGAATTCACCTCAAAATCGCACTCACACTCAATTTGGAGGGAACTAGAATCTGTCCCCTCAGCAGAAGTGTTCCATGTCATTTTCCAAAACACAGAAACTCATCTTGGTCGCGTTGCCTGTAGATTTCTAATCCTGAAAGGTCAATTTGCTGTGTTTTTTTTTTTTCTTTTATAATGGCTACTCTGCCAAAATCTTGCTTGTATTGCATCAGAATACAAAATTTGGGAAAAAGAAGACAAAACCGACTCAGACCCAGAAAACATTTAGGAAATTGCAACTCAAGAAACCACAAATCGCCTGAGGCACCCAAAACAATGACAGCAAGCCAGAATTGGAGCAAGCCAACAGCTGTGCCCTGATTGAAAAAGAACCTTCCTCTTGTGCCCTGAACTCAATATACCAGCCTCAAAACCAAAGCTCACATCAGAAAATTCATTACAAACCATGATGAATAAGAAAAATGAGAAAAAAGCCAAAGAAATGCAGGAGTTCTTAGTAATATTGGGCTTGATTTATTGCCATGTGAACGGCTGTTTCCAGATTCATCCACACCTCCCAGCTGAGTGTCTGTGGTTTCTGACTGAATTAACCTGAATATCGCAGTGAAACTCGGTTTGGAGGCAATTAATATCTGTCACCTCAGCCAAAGTGTTCCATTTTATCTTCCAAAACTCAAAAACTCACCTTAGTCTTCTTACCTGTAGATTTCAAAACTTCAAATGCCTATTTGTTTTGTTTTTTATTTCATAATGGCTACTCTGCCCAAGCTCTTGTTTGTATTGCGTCAGAATACAAAATTTGGCAAGGAAGAAGGCAAAACCAACTCAGACCCAGAAAACATTTAGGAAATTGCCACTGAAGAATCCAAAAGTCAGCGGAGGAACCTACAACAATGACAGCAAGCCAGAATTGGAGCAAGCCAACAGCTGTGCCCTGATTGAAAAAGAACCTTCCTCTTGTGCCCTGAGCTCAATATACCAGTCTCAAAACCAAAGCTCACATCAGAAAATTCATTACAAACCATGATAAATAAGAAAAATGAGAAAAAAGCCAAAGAAATGCAGGAGTTCTTAGTAATATTGGGCTTGATTTATTGCCATGTAAACGGCTGTTTCCAGATTCATCCACACCTCCCAGCTGAGTGTCTGTGGTTTCTGACTGAATTAACCTGAAAATCGCAGTGAAACTCAGTTTGGAGGCAATTAATATCTGTCACCTCAGCCAAAGTGTTCCATTTTATTTTCCAAAACTCAAAAACTCACCTTAGTCTTCTTACCTGTAGATTTCTAAGCTTCAAATGCCTATTTGTTGTGTTTTTTATTTCATCATTGCTACTCTGTCCAAACTCTTGTTTGTATTGCGTCAGAATACAAAATTTGGGATTAAGAAGGAAAAACCGTGTCAGACCCAGAAAACATTTAGGAAATTGCCACTCAAGAAACCAAAAGTCAGCTGAGGAACCCACAACAATGACAGCAAGCCAGAATTGGAGAAAGCCAACAGCTGTGCCCTGATTGAAAAAGAACCTTCCTCTTGTGCCCTGAACTCAATATGCCAGCCTCAAAAGCAAAGCTCACATCGGAAAATTCATTACAAACCATGATAAATAAGAAAAATGAGAAAAAAGCCAAAGAAATGCAGGAGTTCTTAGGGATATTGGGCTTGAATTATGGCCATGTAAACGGCTGTTTCCAGATTCATCCACACCTCCCAACTGAGTGTCTTTGGTTTCTGAATGAATTAACAAAAAAATCGCAGTGAAACTCGGTTTTGGAGGCAATTAATATCTGTCACCTCAGCCAGAGTGTTCAATTTTACTTTCGAAAACACAAAAACTTACCTTGCTCGTGTTACCTGTACATATATAAGCTTCAAACGCATATTTGTTGTGTTTTTTATTTCATAATGGCTACTCTGTCCAAACTCTTGTTTGTATTACGTCAGAATACAAAATTTGGAAAGGAAGAAGGCAAAACCAACTCAGACCCAGAAAACATTTAGGAAATTGCCGCTCAAGAAACCACAAATCAGCTGAGGCACCCAAAACCTTGAAAGCAAGACAGAATTGGAGCAAGCCAACAGCTGTGCCCTGATTGAACAAGACCATTAATCCAGTGCCCAGAACTCCATATTGCAGCCTCAAAACCAAAGCTCCCATCAGAAAATTCATTACAAACCATGATAAATAAGGGAAATCTGAGAAAGCCAAAGAAATTCAAGAGTCCTTTGTGGTATTTGGCTGGATTTAGACACAAAGAAACTGGCTGTTTCCAGATTCATCCCCCCCTTCCACAGACAGACCTTGGAATTCTGATTGAATTCACCTCAAAATTGCACTCACACTCAATTTGGAGGGAATTAGAATCTGTCCCCTCAGCAGAAGTGTTCCATGTCATTTTCCAAAACACAGAAACTCATCTTGGTCGAGTTGCCTGTAGATTTCTAATCCTGAAAGGGCAATTTCCTGTGTATTTTTTTTTCTTTCGTAATGGCTACTCTGCCAAAATCTTGCTTGTATTGATTCAGAATACAAAATTTGGGAAGGAAGAAGGCAAAACCGACTCAGACCCAGAAAACATTAAGGAAATTGCCGCTCAAGAATCCACAGATCAGCTGAGGCACCCAAAACAATGACAGCAAGCCAGAATTGGAGCAAGCCAACAGCTGTGCCCTGATTGAAAAAGAACCTTCCTCTTGTGCCCTGAATTCAATATGCCAGCCTTCAAACCAAAGCTCACATCAGAAAATTCATTACAAACCATGATAAATAAGAAAAAAGAGAAAAAAGCCAAAGAAATGCAAGAATCCTTAATGATATTGGGCTTGATTTAGTCGCAAGGAAACCGGCTGTCCCCAGATTCATCCATACCTCCAGCCGTCTGCCTGTGGAATTCTGACTGAATTACCCTGAAAATCGCAGTGAAACTCAGTTTGGAGTCAATTAATATCTGTGACCTCAGCCAAAGTGTAACATTTTTTTTTCCAAAACACAAAAACTCACCTTGGTCATGTAACCTGTAGATTTTTAAGCTTCAAATGCCCATTTGTTGTGTTTTGTATTTCATAATCGGTACTCTGCCCAAACTCATGTTTGTATGGCGTCAGAATACAAAATTTGGGAAGGAGGAAGGCAAAACCAAATCAGACCAAGAAAACATTTAGGAAATTGCCGCTCAACAAACCAAAATTGAGCTGAGGCACCCAAAACAATGACAGCAAGCCAGAATTGGAGCAAGCCAACAGCTGTGCCCTGTTTGAAAAAGACCATTCCTCCAGTACCCTGAACTCCATATTCCAGCCTCAAAACCAAAGTTCACATCAGAAAATTCATTACAAACCATGATAAATAAGGGAAATGAGAAAAAGCCAAAGAAATGCAAGCCTGTGGAATCCTAACTGAATTAACTGAATTAATCTGAAAATCGCAGTGAAACTCGGTTTTGGAGGCAATTAATATCTGTCACCTCAGCCAGAGTGTTCAATTTTAATTTCGAAAACAAAAAATCATACCTTGGTCTTGTGACCAGTACATATATAAGCTTCAAACGCATATTTGTTGTGTTTTTTATTTCATAATGGCTACTCTGTCCAAACTCTTGTTTGTATTGCGTCAGAATACAAAATGTGGGAAGGAAGAAGGCAAAACCTACTCAGAGCCAGAAAACATGTAGGAAATTGCCGCTCAAGAAACCACAAATCAGCTGAGGCACCCAAAACCTTGAAAGCAAGCCAGAATTGGAGGAAGCCAACAGCTGTGCCCTGATTGAACTAGACCATTAATCCAGTGCCCTGAACTCCATATTCCAGCCTCAAAACCAAAGCTCACAAAAAAAAAAATCATTACAAACAATGATAAATAAGGGAAATCTGAGAAAGCCAAAGTAATTCAAGAGTCCTTTGTGGTATTTGGCTGGATTTAGACAGAAGGAAACAGGCTGTTTCCGGATTCATCCCCCCCTTCCACAGACTGACTTTGGAATTCTGACTCAATTCACCTCAAAATCGCACTCACACTCAATTTGGAGGGAATTAGTATCTGTCCCCTCAGCAGAAGTGTTCCATGTCATTTTCCAAAACACAAAAACTCATCTTAGTCGTGTTGCCTGTAGACTTCTAATCCTGAAAGGGCAATTTACTGTGTTTTTTTTTTTTTTCTTTCATAATGGCTACTCTGTCCAAAATCTTGCTTGTATTGCGTCAGAATACAAAATTTGGGAATAAGAAGGCAAATCCGACTCAGACCCAGAAAACATTTAGGAAACTGCAGAAAAAGAATCCACAAATCAGCTAAGGAATCCAAAACAATGACAGCAAGCAGAACTGGAGCACGCCAACAGCTGTGCCCTGATTGAAAAAGAACCTTCCTCTTGTGCCCTAAACTCAATATGCCAGCCACAAAACCAAAGCTCAAATCAGAAAATTCATTTCAAACCATGATAAATAGGAAAAATCAGAAAAAAGCCAAAGAAATGCAAGTTTTCTTAGTGATATTGGGCTTGATTTATTCCTAAGTAAACAGCTGTTTCCAGATTCATCCACAACTCCCAGCTGAGTGAATAGGGATTCTGACTGAATTAATTCATTACAAACCACGATACATAAGAAAAATGAGAAAAAAGCCAAGAAATGCAAGAAACCATAATGATATTGAGCTGGATTTAGTTGCAAGGAAACCGGCTGTTCCCGGATTCATCCAACACTTCAGCTGAATGTGTGTGGAATTCTGACTGAATTAACCTGAAAATTGCAGTGAAACTCAGTTTGGAGGCAATTAATATCTGTCACCTCAGCCAAAGTGTTCCATTTTATTTTCCAAAACACAAAAACTCACCTTGGTCTTGTTACCTGTAGATTTCCAAGCTTCAAATGCCTATTTGTTGTTTTGTTTATTTCATAATGGCTACTCTGTCCAAACTCTTCTTTGCATTGCATCAGAATAGAAAATTTGGGAATAAGAAGGCAAATCCAACTCAGACACAGAAAACATTTACGAAATTGCCACTCAAGAAACCACGAATCTTCTGAGGCATCCAAAACAATGACAGCAAGCCGGAATTGGAGCAAATCAACAACTGTGCCCTGATTGAAACAGAACCATCCTCTTGTGCCCTGAACTCAATATGCCAGCCTCAAAACCAAAGCTCACATCAGAAAATGCATTACAAACCATGATAAATAAGAAAAATGAGAAAAAAGCCAAAGAAATGCAAGAATCCATAATGATATTGGACTTGATTTAGTCGCAAGGAAACCGGATGTTCCCGCATTCATCCACCCCTACAGCTGACTGCCTGTGGAATTCTGACTGAATTAACCTGAAAAATGCAGTGAAACTCAGTTTGAAGGCAATTAATATCTGTCACCTCAGCCAAAGGGTTCCATTTGATTTTTCAAAACTCAAAAACTCACCTTGGTCATGATACCTGTAGAATCATAACCTTCAAACGCCTATTTGTTGTGTTTTTTATTTCATAATCGGTACTCTGTCTGAACACATGTTTGTATTGCGTCACAATACAAAATTTGGGAAGGAAGAAGGCAAAAACCTCTCAGACACAGAAAACATTTAGGAAATTGCCGCTCAAGAAACCAAAAGTCAGCTAAGGCACCCAAAACAATGACAGCAAGGCAGAATTGGAGCAAGTCAACAGCTGTGCCCTTTTTGAAAAATAACCTTCCTCTTGTGCCCTGAACTCCATATTGCAGCCTCAAAACCAAAGCTCACATCAGAAAATTCATTACAAACCATGATAAATAAGAAAAATGAGAAAAAAGTCAAAGAAATGCTAGAATCCATAATGATATTGGGCTTGATTTAGTCGCAAGGAAATTGGCTGTTCCCAGATTCATCCACCCCTCCAGCTGACTGCCTGTGGAATTCTGACTGAATTAACCTGAAAATCGCAGTGAAACTCAGTTTGGAGGCCATTAATATCTGTCACCTCAGCCAAAGTGTTCCATTTTATTTGCCAAAACACAAAACCTCATCTTGTCCTGTTACCTGTAGATTTCTGAGCTTCAAACGCCTATTTGTAGTGTTTTTTATTTCATAATGGCTACTCTGCCCAAACTCTTGTTTGTATTGCGTCAGAATACAAAATTTGGGAAGGAAGAAGGCAAAACCAACTCAGACCCAGAAAACA